GGTGGCAGACGTGCTGCTCGTGGAGGTCCGCGGGGCCCCCCCCTCGCGCCGAGGGGGGGCCATGACGCATATACTGCAGGATGCCTCGGTGCGCGCGTCGCCCCTGGGGGGAGGGCGACGCAGAGATAGTATTAGCCGGCGGTGGACGTAACTTCCCTTTAGTAAACCTCCCCTTGGTGAAAACGGCCTGGGACCGAAACCGACGGACCTGGACCCGCCACAGTGACGGCCGCGACGCCCTCTCGCAAACCGAAGACGGCCAATTGCGCAATCGACGCGTCAGGGGCCTCCTTGGGGAGCTCTTTGGCCACTTGGAGCCGTCTTGGGGCGGTCTTGGAGCCCTCTGGAGCATCTTGGGAGCCATCTTGAGCGATCTTGTGCTATCTTGAGCCATCTTGGAGGTTACCTTGGCCCGACCTAAGCCGAGGCGGACCCCACGGGAGGGGGAGCGCGGCGGTGCCAGCCAGCAGGCGTCCCCCGCTAGAAGATCGCCCGCAGGACCTGCTGCATGACGATCGCGGCCTGCCCGGCTCGCTCCCGACGCGCGCTCGGGGGGGGACAAGGACACGCAAACAGATACACACAAGCAACAGGATCCCCCATGTTCTCCCATGTTTTCTGGGTTTTTGTCTTCCCCCCACTTCCCATAGCTTCCCATACTTTCTGGGGAATCGACGACTCGTTGTGTCTGTGTGTGTTTTTCCCTCCTGAACAAGGGGGGGAAGAGGGGCGTCGTCCTGCTCGGCGCGGTCGTCTTGGAGGATGCGGGAGGGTGAGGGGGGGCGGGGAGGAAGAGGCAGGAGGGGAGGAGAGGGGAGAGGAGCGCAGCGAGGGTACGGAGGAGGAGGCAGGAGGAAGGGGGGGAGGCTGGAGGGCAAGGAGAGGGAGGAGGAGAAGAAGTACCGAGATGGAGGAGGCGGAGGAGGAGGCGGACCTAAAAAACCATGATGCAACAGCGAAGCAATATACACTCCCATCCCACATCCCATCCTTACCAGTCCCAACAATCCTTCCGTGTCACTGCAAGAAGCACCCCATTTGAAAGACGAACATCCTAGAGGGCCTTCCACTCGGACGAGAACCATGTTTTCAACTGGAACTGACGTGCATCCGTCTAGCGCGAAACATGAGGAATGCGGCAAGACAGGATCATCAAGTTCAACGAGGTGTACATCGAGAGCCTTGGTTTGCAAAAAAGGCAGTCCCCCAACCCGTGCAACTGCTGCACAGGTCTACACTTCTTGTCGCTAGAATCGAGGGAGCATCATGTGAAAGCCTAGGAGTGAGAAGGAATCGGCCTCCATACGTTCGCTGCCACATGTGCTAAACCTTCGACTCGCTAGGTTAGGTGCGAAAACCTCTCAGGCGAGTGCCCCATGCCGAAAAAACAGGTACACCCTGCGAAATGCTTTAGAAATCATGGGTTAAGAAATTCATAGTCTCAGAACTTGAATAAAAACCCAAAAATTCCATTCAAATCTTAGGATTTACATTGAAACGTTAAGAATAATCGAGACTCTGGCCGAAAACTTAGGTTTTCTTAAGCATCGCCTAAGGTGTACAGGCCTCCATCCCTGAAAACGCTCGCAATAGTTCGTGCAGAACGACTGTGCGCAGAGGAGGAGGCGAGAGCCCAGCTTCGAGAACGCACCGCCCGTCCGACCCTGAAGCTGCCGCAGCCGTCTGAGGCCGACCGGGAAAGTCTCCACCGAAACGCCCTGACCTAAAGGCCACGCCTGGCGGTGCCACGGGGAGTTAGAAGCAGGAGCAGGAGCAGGGGAAGGAGAAGAGGAGGGAGGGGAAGGGGAGGAGCTGGCACAGGGGGTGGACGAGGGGGAGGGGGACAGAGCAGGAGGAACGGGGGGAGGACGAGGGAAAGCGGGAGGAGGAGAAGGGAGGACCAGGGAGAGGAGGGAGAGGAGGCAGAGAACACGATTTGTCGGACTCGGACGGGGATGGCCCTCCAAGATAGCCCCCTAGGTGGCCTTTAAGCGCCCATAGAAGGACCCCAGAAGGACCCCAAAAGGCTCCAGAGAGCCCCAAGATTGCCCCACTAGACTCCAAAATGTTCTCAGGAGCTTCCAAAAAATTACCCAAGCAAACGTCAAAGGACTGCAAAGTCAAAACATCTGCGACGACCTTGACAATTGACTCCTGAGTCTGCCCCGGCTGCCTTCCAGCTTCGATCTCACGGCTACCCCTGGCACTTGTTCCACTAAATGCTCCTACAATCCCATGCTCAAGACAACTCGCCGCGGTTTGGTGGAGATACACGAAGAATACCCTATGATACGCGAATGGAGAGCGAGACGTGTTCGAAATGTCGCCCTCGCTTTTGCGTCGCGCACTGTCGTCGTAAACGATTACAGCTACACAGATGGAGGGCGAATGTTTTTGAAAACGATGCTCTGACAATTACGCCGCGCCTACTCGTCTTCAAAGCTGCCGACGGCTACATGGACGGATTGAGACTTGCTTTCCAATTGTGGCTGTCGGTTCAGCGCCACACATATCCACCTTCAAGCTTCCACTAATCACGGGGGTGGAGGACAATCGTTGGCTCCCGTTCCTGCGCCGCGCACAATGTCTTTACAGCTTCCAGCAGCTACACGGATGGAAGGCGGCTCTTTTTCAAAGTAAACGTGTAGATTGAAACTGCCTCTGGTCTCATGGCCAGAACCCGCCGACCCCGTAGGTTCATCGGCGTGCGAGATGCTCCCCCCTCCCCCGGAAGTCTGGTCCAGTCGATTTGGAAAGGGGGGCCCGCGGGGTCCAAGAGGGCCTCTCTTTCTCTCTTTGGTCTCTCTCTCTCTCTCTCTCTCTCTCCCCACCCCGTCACAGCGTACGCACCCATTGTTTGTTCTGTCTCTCTCTCTCTGCCTCTCTCTCTCCCCCTCTCTCTCTCAATCTCTCTCGTCCTCTCCTTGCCCGCCTGTATAAAGATACATACATGTATAAATAATGGTGTGTATATATGATTAGATCGTACCTCTCTCTCTCTCTCTCTTTCGCTTTCTCGTTCTCTCTCTCTCTCTCTCTGTCTCTCTCTCGCTCTCTCTCCCTCTCTCGTTCTCTTTCTCTTTCTCTCGCTCTCTCTCTCTCTCTCTCTCGCGCGCGCTGTCTCTGTCTATATATGTATTGATGTATCTCTCTCTCTCTCTCTCTCTCCTTCTCTCTCTCTCTGTTATGTGTTTTCTCTCTCTCTATATCGCTCTCTCTCTCCCTCTCTCTCTCTCTTTTCTCTCTCTCTCTCTCTCTCTCTCTCTCTCTCTCTCTTTCTCTCTCTCTCTCTCTCTCTCTCTCTCTCTCTCTCTCTCTTCCCAACTATCATATGTTGGGCTCTCGCTTTGAATCAAGAATTGTGCTCTCCAACATCCTCCCCTTCCTCCTGCCTCTTGCCTCCGATGTCCTGCCTCATGTCTCCTCATCATCATCTTCCTCATCACTTCGCTTTTCGTCCTGCTTACGCCGCCTTTTCACTCTCGTGCGAGGCACTCCCTGTCGCCACTTTCGTCGGCTCCTGGGAGGTCCAGCGGGGTCGGTAGTCACGCACACCATGTCGGGACCTCGCGGTTCCCTGGGTGGCTGCGAACTGCGCAACTGTCTCCATTTTCGTGGGAGGTCCAGCGGGATGGGGTGGTACGTAGACCCCGTTGGGACCTGGCGGCTCCCCTGGGGTGCTGCGACGTGCGCAACTGTCGCCACTGTCGTGGGCTCCTGGGAAGTCCAGCGGGGTAGAATGGTACGCAAATCCCATTGGGATTTCGCGGCTCCCCTGGACGCAACCGTCGCCAGCGTCGCAGGGCCATGGGAGGTCCAGCAGAGTGGATTGGTACACAGACCCCGCTGGTGCGCCTCTGCTCCCCTCTGCGCAACTATCGCCACTATCGTGGGCTCCTGGGAGGTGCAATGGGACGAAATGGCACGCAGTCCCCGTTGGGACCTCGCGGCTCCCCTGGGGTGCTGCGACGTGCGCAACTGTCGCCACTGTCGTGAGCTCCTGGGAGATCCAGCGGGGTGGAAGGTTACGCAAATCCTGTTGGGACCTCGCGGCTCCGCTAGGGGTGCTGCGAATTGCGCAACTGTCGCCAAGATCGTGGGCTCCTGGTAAGCAGACCCCGTTGGGACCTCGTGGCTCCTGTAGGGGGGGCAACGAAGTGCGCAACTGTCTCACCATTTTCGTGCGCGCAAGTGTCGCCAGTTTCGTGGGCCCCTGGGAGGTCCAGCGGAGTGGGGCGCAAACCCCGTCGGGACCTCGCGGTTCCCGGGGGGGGGCTGCTTGGTGTGCAACTGTCGCTACTTTCGTGGGCTCCAGGGGGGAATCCGGAGGAGTGGAGTGGTACGCAGACCCCGAGGAGACCTCGCGGCTCCCCTAGTAAGCTGCACAGCCTGCAAAAGCGTCGCCACTTTCATGAGCGCCTGGGGGATCCAGCGAAGTGGAGCGGTACGCAGGCCACGTTGGGACCTCGCGGCTCCCCTGGGGGACTGCTAACTGCGCAACTGCCGCTACTTTCGTGGTCTCGGCGCAGCACTGGCCCGTCACGCAGCGCTCGGCGCTGCCGCATCGCAGTCCGCAGGGAACCGCTGCGCCACGCAGCGCGTGGCGTTGTCTTTTGTTCGCGTGGCCCCCCATCCTCAGCTGCCTCTGGCTCGCCATGCCACCCCGTGCACCTGCCTCGCTGAGCGCGACGGGCTGCTTTGCTAATTACAGACCTGCATGTGTTCGTGTATTTCAAGGAGCTCGTGTGCCTTGCGGTTCCTTCAACATGTTTCTTTGCAGTGAACAGCCATGTATGTATATATGCGTCCTTATGTATATGTATACGTATGTATGTATGTATATTTCGTCATGTGTTGAGAAAAGGTTGGGTCCGCAACCAGGTAAACCTATACATCTCTCATTCCCCCTGTGTAAACACACATACGTACAAGCATACATGCATACATGCATACGTGTGCGTGTGTATATATATATATATACACGCACAAATATCCCGTCTCTCCGCACACCGTTTGACGCGTCCCAAGGCCACAAGGGCCTCGGCACGCGCCGATCCCCGCCGCGGGGCCGCGGAGCCCCCCCGCGCCCGCCCCGCGCTGCCCCCCAACGCCGTGCCGAAGGAAAACTTCTATGGGGCCGCACCCTGAGGCCGACGCCCCACGCACTGCCTCCCCCATGGAGGTCAGCGCCCGTGGCCGCACCCCGAAGCCGACACCACACGAAACCGCAACACGATGCCGACACTCCTGCGCAGAATCTCTCACCACGCCGGGGCGGCTGACCTCGACGAGGATACTGCGCGGGGCCGAACCCTGAGGCCGACACCCCTGGCGCAGCCGCTCCCCCACGGAGAGGCCTGCACCACCGCCTGCAGCGGGCCGCCGCGGATGCCGTGCAAGGTCCCGAGGAGGCCCGGGGCGCCAGCGAGCATCAGGAGCGGAAGGGGCGCGCGATCTTCATGACCACCAGGTCGGCCCGCAACCTTCTCGTCGCAGCTCAGCCCCGACGCCACGGCCACGGGCGCCGAGCTCTGCAGCGGGCGGGGGCCATCGACGCGGCGGCCGGGGAGGTAGCAAGAGCAGCCGAGGGCGCCGAGCTGGAGGCCCGCGCACCATCCTCGAGGCCGCCGCCGACGTCCACCTCCACGCTGCCACCGCCTGGCTGGGTCGGCACAGAGGCCGCCTGCTTACCACGGGCACGGCGCCGCCGAGGTGGCCGCCCCCTGCGCCCGGGTGGTCCGCCCAGCGTGGGCGACGCGGGAGCAGCAGGCCGCGCTGCACCGCCGCCTCCCCGCCTTCGCCTCTCCATGGAGGGAAGAGGAGGAGGAGGCAGAGGAGTAGGAGAGGGAGTATGAGGAGGGAAGGAGGATGGAGGTGGGAGAAGGATGATGAGAAGGGCAGGGAAGGGAAGGGAGGATAGGAGGAGGAGGAGGAGGAGGAGGAGAAGGAGGAGGGAGGAGGTGGATGTAGGAGGCAGGGGGGGAGCAGGGGAAGGAGGATAGGGAGGGAGGAAGGGGGTAGGAGGGAGGGCGGAGGAGGAGGAGGAGGCTAGAGGGGGTGAGGGGGAGGAGGGGAGAGGAGGAGAGGATGACGAGGACGACGAGGAGGACGACGAGGAGTGAGGAGGAGGAAAAGGGAAGGAAGGAGAGGAGGAGGAGGATGGAGGAGAAGACAGAGGAGGAGCAGGAGGAGGAGGAGGGGGACCAGGCTGCGCTGCACCGCCGCCATCACCAGAAGCAGCGGCCGCGGGCGCGCCGAGGACCGCCACGGCTGCCCCCGCCAGGCCCTCAGCCGCCCTCGGGAGACGCCGGGCCTCGCGGCGCGCGCGCGCCCGCACGGAGGCCAGCGGCAGCGCGGGCCGCCACCCGCGTGCCGCGCGCGCGCCTCCGGGGCGGCGCGGCGGGTCGTCGCCTGCCGCGGCAGCGCGCGCGGCGCGGGGGTGGAGCCACTCGGCGTCGCGAGCCAGAGCCAACGCGGCTCGTAGATCCCGCCTCGCCCTCTCTCACTCTCTCTCTCTCTATTTCTCTCTCCCTCCCTCTCTCACAATGTCGAACAATCCCTCTGTCCTATATGTGTACACGCATCTCGACATGTGCGTGCGTATGCATGTATGTATATGTGTTCACGTACACACACACACACACACACACACACACACACACACACACGCGCGTGCACATACATACACGAATGTATGTCATTGCTTCTCAATGTTGGCACCTGGTTGAACCGTGCGAAAACATACAGTCGGACCTAGGCCGACCAAAAGAACATCCTACAAGAACATGAGACCCTCCGCCAGCCAAAGCACCCCAAACCCTAAGAGCATTCGAGGGTACCCTCCCCCAGGATACACACGAACACCCAACAAACACGATAGACATCTGGGTACCCTCCCCGAACCGCCCTCGAGCTTACACCTCGGTCGGACTGTACATCGATGGAGAACTAGTGACGACAAAATCGATGCTCCCACAGGACACGTCCTAAACGCCATGGCCGTGCCACTCGCGAGCCCTTCCGACAGAGAAGGGCGAAGGGCACGACCACATGGCCCTCGTCCTTCGAGGGGGGCCTCCCGCAGTGAGAACGCCCGCCGTCGTCGTCGTCGTCGTCGTCGTCGTCGTCGTCGTCGTCGTCGTCGTCGTCGTCGTCGTCGTCGTCGTCGTCGTCCGCGTCGTTGTCATCGTCCTTGCCGTCGTCGTCGTCGTCGTTGTCGCCGTGGTTTGCGACACTGTGTTTACTCGGGTCCTCCTCCTCCTCGCCCTCCATCGCCCCCTTTCCTGCCCATCCTCTGGCTCCTCGTCCGAGCATGGAGGGCCTACCTCACGGATCCTGGTCGGGGTCTTCGCCACCTACGACGACGACGACGAGAACGACGACGAGAACGACGACGAGGACGAGGACGAGGACGAGGACGAGGACGACGACGACGACGACGACGACGACGACGACGACGACTCGACGACAACCACGTCCGACCGCCGCCAGAATCGCCGCGGCGCCGCCAGACTGGCGGGGCCTCCTTCTCGTTGAAGTGGCTCGCCTCGATGATGCGGTCGAAAAGCTCCCCGCCCGCGCACAGCTCCTAAGGGGGATGCTCCTCGCCTTTCTCCTCATGTTCATCCGCCACGTCCCTGTCACTCTTCCCCCTCTTCCTCCTTCTCATACATACACCCCTCCCCCATGCCCTAACCGTCCCCGCCCCTCCTCCTTCCCCCCTCATTACTTGAAGAGGCTTCGGGGAGGCGGGGCATCGTCGTCGGAGGAGGGGGGGGGCGCCGTCGTCGGAGGGGGAAGAGGATGGGAAGGGGGCGGTGGCGAGGAGGCGGGAGGAGAAGGATGGGGGCGGGAGGAGGAGAGGAAGAGGCGGGAGGAGAGGAGGGAAAGGGCGAGGCGGGAGGAGGGGGGCAGCCTCAGCCTCCCGTACTCATCCCCGTTCGACACGGCATGTTCGCTGCAGCAGCGGCATGTGTGTTGTTGTGGCCGCTCTCCGCCTATCCATCCCTTCCTCATCTTCCTCCTCTTCCTCGTTCTCCTATGATTCCTCCCCGTCCTATTCTAACGCTTCTCTGTTGATCCTCCTCTTCGTCTCCCTCCTGCCCCCTCGCCGATCTCCTCATCAGTACCCTCCCCCGTCTCTTAGATTGTCTGATCTTCATCCTCCTCCTCCTTCTCCTCCGCATCCTCTTCCTCCTCCTGATCCTGAATCTTCACGGATCGCGGGCGTCGCCTTTTCCTAAATCTGGCCCTCGCGTTAGCGCCGCACACATTCATCTTAAAACGCTTGCAAGAATTTCACAGATGGTGACCGGGCCGTTTTCAAATTGCGGCTCCCGCCGTAGCGCCGCGCACATTCGCCTCCCAAGTGTGCAAGAGTTTCACGGATGGAGGGCGGGCATTTTTTTTCATGTGGCTCGCGCCGTAGCGCAGCACCCATTCGTCTTAGAAGTTCACAGGAGCTTCACGGATGGAGGGCGGGCCGTTTCCAAAACGTGGCTCTCGCCTCAGCGCCGCGCGCTTTCGTCTTCAAACACTGCGGGAGCTTTACGGATGGTTGGCGGTTCCTTTCCAATATGCGGTCCTCGCTTTGGCGCCATGCACTGTCGTTGTAAACGTTTGCAAGGAGCTTCCCCGATGTAGGGCGGCTCCTTTTCATAATGTGGCTCTCGCGTTAGCACCGTCTTCAACGTTGGCACAAGTTTCACGGATGGTTGGCGGGCTGTCATCATAATGGAACTCTCGCCGTAGCGCTGCGCACAGTCATCTCAAAAACATGCAAGAGCATCACGGATGGAGGGCGGATGACGTTCGAAAGGTGGCTCTCGCCTGAGGAGCGCCGCGCACATCCGTCTTAAAAACTGCAGAAGAGATTCACGGATGGATACCATTCTTTTTTATACTGTAGCTCTCGCGTTAACGCCGCGTATATGCTCCTTCAAAGTTTACAAGTTAATTGGTTCGTCTGGTTGACGTCCCGGGAATGATGTTCCCGCACGGTTTCGGATTGTCAGGGCGCAACAGTCACGTTGACTCGCGGTGATGAACTGGCAGGGATGCGTTCTGGCACGATTCAAGATTGTCATGACGCAACAGGAAGGCTGATTCACGACATTGAAGTCCAAAGAATCGATGTTGGCACTGCTGAGGATTCTCAGACCCTCACTTGTCTGGCAACGGGGTTCATCAAGGTAAAAAAACGTGCGAGGGTTTATTGCAGCATCGTTGATGCGCCTTGTGCTTACACTGGTGCTCCTGCTCGTTCTCTTGGTATTATTGCTGCTGTTCATCATGGCTCCTCTTCTGTTTCTTCTTGCTCATACTCTTCCTTCTTCCTCATCCTCCTCGGCATCTTCATGACCCTTCTCCTCCCCCTCCTCCTCCTCGTCATCCTCCTCCTCCTCACCATCATCATCAGAAGCATTATCATCACCAGCACCACCATCACCATCACCATACTCATCATCACCACCAGAATCACCATCATCATCAGCAGCAGCATCATCAGCAGCAGCAGCATCATCGGCATTACCATCAGCACCTTCACCGTCATCACCACCAGCAGCAACACAATCATCACCACCACCACCACCACCACCACAACCACCATCATCATCATCATCATCATCATCATCATCAGCAGCAGCAGCATCATCATCATCATCATCATCATCATCATCATCATCATCATCAGCATCATCATAATCATCATCATCATCATCATCATCATCATCATCATCATCATCGTCGTCCCAAACATCATCGTGATCATCGTCATCGTCATCGTCGTAAGCATCATCCTTATCAGCAGCATCGCCATCATTACCATCAGCATCATCATCGCCATCGTCATGATCATCACCAGCATCATCAACATCATCATCAACACCACGATCAGCATCGCCATCATCAGAAGCATCATCATCATCATCATCAGCATCGTCATCACTATCATCAACATCACCATCATCATGCTCGTCAGCATCGCCAGCCGTAGCATCCTCATCACCATCATCGTCATCGTCATCATTCTCATCATCATCACCATCATCACAAGCGTCATCATCACAATCACAACCATCCGCATCATCATCAGCATCATGAGCAGCATCATCAGTATCCTAAATTATCAGCACCAGCATCAGCATCATCAGCATCATCACATTCATAATCATCATCGCCATCATCATCATCATCATCATCATCATCATCAGCATCATCATCATCATCAGCATCATCAGCATCATCATTATCATCATCGTCATCATCACCATCGTCATCATCATCAGCATCATCATCGTCGTCATCAGCATCATCATCATCATCATCATCATCAGCAGCATCGCCATCATAATCATCATCGCCATCATCAGCATCATCATGCGCATCATCAGGATCATCATCAGCACCATCAGCACCAGCATCATCAGCAGCAGCTGCATCATCATCATCAGCATCAGCATCATCACCATCAGTCTCGCAATCGTCAGCATCACCATCAGTTTCGTCATCATCATCACCATCATCAGCATCAGCATCATCATCATTATCATCATCATCATCGCCATCGCCACCATCGCTAGCATCATGATCATCAACATCATCATCAGCAGCATCGTCATCATCATCATCATCTGAATCACCATCGCCATCATCGTCATCGTCATAATTATCAGCATCCTCGTCAGCATCATCATCATCATCGTCGTCATCGTCATCACCACCATCATCATCATCATCATCATCATCATCATCATCATCAGCAGCAGGTTCATCATCATCGCCAGCAGCATCCGCATCATCATTATCATCGCCGTCATCAGCAGTACCATCATCATCATCATCACCATCAGCATCATCAGTCACATCATCATCGACATCATCAACATCGTCATCACCATCAGTATCATCAGCGTCATCGTCATCATCATCATCATTATCATCGTCATCACTATCATCAGCATCACCATCATCACCCTCATCAGCATCGCCAGCAGAAGCATCCTCATCACCATCATCGGCATCGTCATCATTCTCATCATCATCAGTATCACAATCATCACAGGCATCATCATCAATCACAACCATCCCTCATCATGATCAGCATCATCAGCAGCAGCATCAGTATCCAAAATTATCAGCACCAGCATCAGCATCATCAGCATCATCATCACACTCATAATCAACATCGCCATCAGCATCATCATCATCATCGTCATCAGCATCATCATCATCATAATCAGCATCATCATCGTCGTCATCATCCTCGACAACATCATCCGCATCGCCATCATAATCATCATCGCCAACATCATCATCATCAGCATCA